TCGTCCATCACAAATGGGAAAAGATGCAAAAAAGGAAAATCTTCTTGTTTTACCTTAAATTTTATGAGAACATATAAATAGGTCTCTCAAGCATAATTATTCATGTGAAGATGATGATGTAAATGCTTTTATATTACTTTTATGCTTTTATCAATTTGGTATAATATCGTGTATAATTAGTAAGATAATTTATTATTATTTATGACAGTATATAAATCGAATGAAATAAAGTTATAGTACAATTTTGTGATGTTTTGATTTGCCAAATAAAATATTTTAGTATGAATATGCAAATAGGGTTGGTATGTATAATATATATAAATGTTATATTTATGCATGTTTAACTTAGGACATAATGGTGTTAAAAAACTATTTTAGTTGTCAATTGATAATTTATTATATTTCGAGTTTTAGATCTAAAAATTATTTAAAAATGATTAAACTGATACATATTTCTGACTAATATTTAATATTTAATTTAATGGTTATTTATTTTAAGGTTATGATTAATAAAATCATTTATAACTAGGTAATTTTTAAATTTATCATTTCAACATAATTTTTTACTGCATTACTATTGAAACGGGTAGCATCATCAACTTCTCCTTCTTCTTCCTTCTTTTCTCTCTCTAAAGCCAATATTTTCTCTCACTAGAACACAAAACTCTGCCAAACTAGAAGTAGTAATGCTAAAGAGAAACCCCCGGTGGAGTTTGCACAGCCGCGACGAAGATCACACGGCTGTAAATGGCGTTCGTAGTTTATGTCTAACGGTGGTTGATGGAGGGTTTTGCGGCTTGCTTGCTTTTTGCTAGATACGGAGGAAGAAGAAAACATGAAGAAAAGAAAAAAGTCACAAGACCGGCGGCACAGAATGAGAGGAAGAAGAAGGAAAGAGGTAAGATCAGGAAAAAAAAAATATATATATATATATATATATAGAAATGGCGGCGCAGGGTGTATATATAATAAATATTATATTAATATTACATATTTACTTACATAATTTCAATATTATTTTAAAAAATATATACTATGGTATATCATTATGCAACGTGGCTGCCACGTAGCACTTTGCTACATTATCACCTATATACCATAAAAATAAACAGCATTAATCACTAATATGAATTGGTTGATTTCAATAATTTTTAAAATTTTAAATTGTATTTAAACATAAAAATAAAATCATATTTAATAAAATTAAATAATATATATGTGAACTAAGTATTTGTCTTTGTGAGTATAAATAATTAAAATGATAATTTTAAACCGAAAATTTATTATTAAACTAATTATTCGATAGATTGTCTTATTTGATATTTTATAAAAATTTAACAAATAGACTCTTGTTATTAATCTATTTGTACGTGAATACTGCAAAATTATAGTAATTTACACTAATAACATAGAATAATTTTGTTATTTTTTAGTTAAAATATATTTAAACTTTTTTTTATATTCAATTTTAATATAATTTAGACTTATCTGATTATAAATGCTCAAACAATTTTAATTATTTTTCTCATAAATTGCTTCCTATATATGTTATGATTATCCAATCTAGAATCTCGCATACCAAATAGAGTAGGGAAAGATGTAATCAAATGGGATTATGAGAAAATCTGTGATTTCTTGGTAAATATAACCCATTAAGGGTAATTAATTAAAACATAATCCTAGTCAATATGCAGTAATTATTAAATTTTAATTGACTAATTAATTTGTTAATTTTATGGAAATGCCAACAGAGACATTTTTCCATTAAGTTTGGTTCTATCTATTCTCTCTTTCCGCGTCGTACCCATCCTTCTTAACCCATCCATTCCTCCGCTGGGAAATGATTCTCTACTTCCACTCACACCATTTCCTTTGCTACAACTACTATTCTCCAATCAAATTTATCAAATAAAATAATTAATATATATTATATATTTTTCCCCTACAATTTTTATTTTAACAAATGAATTTTAAGATTATATTTTTTAGATATATATATTTTTTAAATTATACATGCATATTTTACTTTCAATAAATTACTTATTAAATATTAATAGTTTTTTGAGTATTTATCATTATGAATTTAATTGTATATAAATATGTTTAAAATTTATTTTCTTAATTTTAATAGAATATAATTTGAAAAATTTTTGTTTACATTATATATATTTTTGAATCAAAAAATATTACAATATTTATTAAAGTCATGTTAGTTTGATTTCTTTTTCATGCATCTTCTATTCTAACATCTTAATAAAAGAAATTGATTTTTTTATTCTATATATGAAAAAATATGTTTATTAAGATATATTTAAGTACAACACGGTTTGTAATAAATATTTTTTATATTAGTTAAAATAAATTTAATAACTCTTTTGTTCATTTAAATATAACTTTTATATTAATTAAAAAAATTAATTTTATTACGTTCAATTTATTTTTGCATGCATATTTCGTAAACTACGTAAGAAAAATATACTTTAATTTTAGATAATTTAATCAATAAAATAACAATACAAATAAAAATTATAATAATATACTTTAAGTTCATTATCATATGTAAATTTTATTTAATCATGCATAATAATTTCTAATTTATTATCTTTTAATTTTTTTCACGAGTAGTTTCTAAATTGAAAAAGATAATAATAAAATAATGTAAAGGAGAAAACCTATTTCAGTGAGGGCTTAAAAAAAAAGAATTGGTGATCACAGCCGTCAGATTGCTGCCACATGGTGTTTGGAGCATTGTTTGGGAATGAGTTATTACACGGAAGAGAAGGCCCCTATGCAGTAAAGGTGATATCCAAATGCCAGCTCACGCGTAACCACGGTTAAAAGTTAACTAAACATGGTTAAGTTAATTGTCCCCCCTAGAAATGTTACTGCTGCCAAACCCTTTCTTTCTAACGTGTTCTCTCTCCTCTGTCCCTCTCTGTCCGATTCTCTCTCTTTTGAAAGAAGCTAAACAGTCAACAACTCCATATCCAGTCTCTCTCTATCGGAGCTGAGCAGTAAAAATTTGGAAAAGATACTCACATGGCTGGCACGTGGAGATAATTCTCATGTCCGTGCTTCTTTTTAACTCTTCTCCTTTATATCAATGTTTTTCTCCTTGTTTTTTTCTTTTTCGTTTTCATTTACAGTTACATGTCATTAATTTTCTTAGATATCGTATTTTGTCTTTGAATTCTTCGGTCTTCTTCAGCTACTGTATCTTTTGTGTCGTGTCATAGAAAATATTCATTTATTTCATCCTTGATGCTTATCTGTCATGATCGGGGCTCTTGCTTACCGATGTTTGCTCTCCGGTGTATTTTTGTTTGCTTACTGATACATTTTCGTACGTAATATCTTGTTTTTTTTTTAATTCACTGATTTGTAGGTTTTCTTATCGGGTAGAAGGTCTAACTTCATGATTTGAATGAATTAACCAGTGTTTTAATTTGAGTTTTGAATTATCTAAATTCTGAGAAATTTTTTCTCAGCAAACAGGATTTCTGGATTTGTTAATGGTTTTGTGAGTTGAGACTGAGGGGGATAGGGTCCTTTGTTATCATTGTTTTTTTTTAAGGGCATAGTTGGTCCCAGAGGTGATTTCATGGCCAATTTATTGGCTAATTTGGTGGATGTTCGTGTTACGAGGTAACTAATTTCCTCGCTACTGTACGTCATTTTCCTTCTTCTTTATATAAAAGAGAAAAGGGAATTTAAGAGTTGACAGATTGTGTTGCCCGGAACTCGGTTTTTTTTTTTTTCGTTGGTGTTTGGACTGGGAACTTTTTTTGTATTCAGTTATTCTTTTCCCTTTATGTATGTCCGTGAATTTTCAGTGAGCTAGCTTGCAAATGATTTGCTTCACAGCATAAAGGTTTTGGGCTTAGTGTATATTGAATTGTTTCATGCTTCTTTTCTAACCTTAAAAAAAGGAGTTTCATGAAGCATTGTGTCTTACCTTGATTTTATTTCTTCTCTTCACTTTCATGTTAACTGCAAATAAGCTTGTAAATTCTTTTCTCAGTAATCAACGAATCAGGAAGCAATTAATGACAAAACAAGAAAAAAAAACAAACGCCTTAGAAGGGTTCTTTTTATGGTACTTTGTTTTAATGGTAACATAAAGCTTTGCAGTTGACTATAAATTTCTTCAGCTGTTATTTGCTTGCTTGGCTTGTCTGATTCCTCATATTTATCAATTCCATACTTTATAATATTGAATTAGAAAATTATAATTTAACATATTTGCATAACAATGCAACACTTTTTATGGTTAAACTGTTTCTGAGTAAAGTGTCTTACTAATTATGCAGTTTACGGTACGTCAAATTTATCGATTACTCTTTATCCAGTATTTTAAACTGCCAAGTCTCTTGAGTTTTGAAGCAGTAAATTGTTCTTGCAGATCTGTAGAGAGTGCACCAGGTAGTTACATTGGTTTTCCAATTGGGTGGAGGATTTTTTCTCTTTGAAAAATGGGAATCCTTGAACAGATGGCTTTTTGTGGTAATCTTGAGTTTCTCTCGGTGCCTCCTGGGGAAGGGGAGGCAGCTCCAGACAATGAAGTGGATGCAGCTGTGGAAAACGATTGTAGTGATCAAGAGATGGATGTAGATGAGCTTGAACGGAGAATATGGAGAGATCGGATGCACCTTAAGCGTCTGAAAGAACAGAATAAAAATAAAGAAGCAACTGACAATGCAAAAGAACATCAAACTCAAGAACAAGTTCAGAGGAAAACGATGTCACAAGCACAAGATGTCATTCTGAAATGTATGCTGAAAATGATGGAGTTCTGCAAAGCTCAAGGCTTTGTCTATGGGATTATTCCTGAGAAAGGGAAGCCAGTGACTGGATCATCTGATAATCTACGAGCATGGTGGAAAGAAAAAGTCCGATTTGATCGCAACGGCCCTGCTGCTATTTCCAAGTACCAAACAGAAAATTCCATACAAGGTAAAAATGAGGACTCTAGTTCATTAGCACCAACTCCTCACAGCTTGCAAGGGCTCCAAGACACCACGCTTGGATATCTTTTATCAGCTTTGATGCCGCATTGTGATCCTCCCCAAAGGCGTTTTCCTCTTGAAAAAGGTGTTCCCCCACCATGGTGGCCAACTGGAAATGAAGAGTGGTGGCCCCAGCTAGGCCTTCCCAAGGACCAAGGTCCACCCCCATATAAAAAGCCTCACGATCTGAAGAAGGCCTGGAAAGTGAGTGCTCTGACAGCTGTGATTAAGCACATGTCACCTGATATTGCAAAGATCCGCAAACTTGTTTGCCAATCGAAATGCTTGCAGGATAAAATGACTGCAAAAGAGAGTTCCACTTGGCGTGCAATAATTGATCAGGAGGAAGCATTGGCTCGAAAGTTATATCCTGACCTCTGGCCACCTGCGTCGATTGCTGGTTCTTTTGTCATCAGTGATACTAATGATTACGATGTCGAAGGAGTAGATGATAAAGTAAATGAAGTAAAAGAGCATAAGCCATGTGATATCAATCTCTTCAAGATGGGGGCAGCAGGACCAGATGATAGGCTAATCATGCCAACATTGGCTTCTCCTCAAATTAAAGGAGAAATTATTGAAGAGAGTTCGGATTTCATCCAGAAAAGGAAGCAACCAAGTGATGAGCAGCAAAAAGTGATGGATCCAAAGAACTATACCTGTGATAACCGTCATTGCCCTCACAGTGACTACCGCATGGGGTTTCTTGACAGGACTGCAAGAAACAATCACCAAATGAATTGCCCATACCGAAGTGATATCCCTCAAGGGTTTGATGGAGTATCTAGCTTGCAGATCAACAATGACAAATCATCACTTGTTTCTCAACCTTTTGTTCAGCCCAAACCGACAGCTCCTCTAATGAGCCAGAATTCATTTAATGCATCAGGACTTGGACTTCCAGATGATGGGCAAAAAATTATTTCAGAGCTTCTGGTACACTATGATTCTAATCTCCAGCATAACAAAAATATGAATGCTTCAAATATTAATGTCATAGGAGACCAAAACCAGCAGCAGGAGCAACAACTAATACTCCAACAACACCAACAGATACAACTGCAACAGATGCAGCTCCAGCGCCAGCAGCAGCAATTGATGCAGCTCCAGAACCAGCATCAACAATTAATGCAACAACTATATCCGGTGCAATCCTGGCCGTCCATTCCTGGATCCCGCCACCTATAGGCATACATGTGCGAACGGCTTCACCCAATTGGTCTGCTTTGACACTTCACTTGCTGAGGTTGTCTGATACTTTCACAATTTAGATGTTGGTTCCCTTTTTGAAGATTGTTGTCATTTAAGTTCTTTTTAATTTACAGAAGACTCCTAAATTTTAATTAATAATTTTTTAAATCTATTTTAAAGTTGAATAATTATTTACAAAATTTTAAAATATTTTACAATATGAAATTAAATAATTAACTGCGTTTGGGGTGTTACAATCTTAGTTATTTAATTATGCCAAAAAAAACTTATTTAATGTCATATATATAAATTGCATGTAAAATTACAAAGGGTCCCGCCCAAAAATGATGTTGTAAGTTTTTATTTTTTAACTAAGATTACGTACGAATAACATTTAGAAAACTTTATCTGAAAATTAGGCTGTTGACTTAATTGTCGTAAATATATTTAATTGAATTAAATAATATTTAAAATGAATAATTAATTTAGCTTGAGATATTTATTTCCATCGTAATATTAATAAAAAAATTTAATTAATTTTTAATCCATGAAGACCCAATTAATTTATTTAATTGGGCCATTTAAGTAGGGTCTTAGGGACCAATTTAAAGGATTGAGCTTTAATTAATATGGTGTTTAAATCAGACCTAATAAGACTCAAATTATAAAATCTTTTGTGCGCACTTTTAATTATGTCTAGAAAGCTAATTAAAAGGATTTGAATGTAATTAAATTCGGTATTAAATTTACGCCCAAGATATATGTCTAGAAAGCTAATTAAATGGTATTAAATATGGTATTATATTAACAGGCTTAATTTAATTGAATGGATTAGAGGCCCGATAAATGTTCTTAAGATATTTGGAGTTGACCGTATAGTGAAAGAATATAATTCTCCATTTTAATTACTATATGGGCCAAAAATTGCATGGGAAAAATCCACGGTGATATGTGTCCTTAATGATTTAATTTAATAATTTTATTAGATTTCAATTAAAAATTATATATTTTATTAATTAACTGAACTTATACATGTTAATCTCAAACGCAATTTCTTAACAAGTACACATAATATACTTTAACATGTTTCGAGCCATAAGCTCTTATACCGAAGGAGATACTCATCATTCAGTTAAAAAATAATTAATTTTATTGATTTAAATATTATATAGTTAAGAGCATCAACCTACTCTTATTTATTTATACTAATAATCAATTTAAGACAATGATAGATAGGTACAAGTCTTAAAATCTTAAAACTTGTTGATATTGCATAAACTATAGTATTTTTTAAGGAATATAACATATAATATATAATAATAGAAATATGCTCTAAAATTTATTAATTTTTTAAGGAATATAACAGATAATATGTCGAGACATCAATATACTCTAAAATATATAGTACCAATAATTCATGAAACTATGTTTTTAGATTCAATTACGGTTAGTATTTGTATTTAATAAATAAATAACATATTACTCCAGGGATATGATATTTCTTACCAAAGTACTCCAAATATGCAAGAATTAATTATATTTGTCCAATGGTAATGAATAGATTTGTTTCATTAATAGAGCAAGTACTAATACTTTTTTTCTTGAAGTAACATATAAATCTTATGGACTTCTTTTATAATTTTTAGATTAAAATTTATTAAATATTTAGTAAAAGTAGAGCTTGAAATTAAAAAATTTAAACAATAACTACAAACAATTTAATATTCTTTTGATTAAAAACTTTTTTATGCTTAAAAATCTTTTAAAGGAAGAGTCTTAATTAGTCATCAGAATTAAAAAGGATACATTGTAGCAAGTCAACAAATTAATTAAGGGTGTTTATAAGTTGTTTCAGATAAAAAAATTAGATTGTATTGAATAAGATTGAATCAAATATAATTCGGTTTAATCTTCAGACAAATAGTAAGATGACAAAAAAAAGTTAGTATGGTCATTAGTGTAGATCGAACAATTTAAAATCTAAAAAGACATACTTAAAAGATCATAACTATGAATTTTGGTCCAATTTGATAAATTTTGGTGTTGTCTTCAATCTAAAATTAGATTACTAAAAAAGTTCTATCTAGTTAAGTTCGAACTAAACTCTTGAACACCTATTATTTGTTATCTTCAACATATCAAGGATCTAATTTACCAAAAGTAGTTCCCAATTTTAGTTATTTTTAGTAATAACTCAAAAAATTTATTAACTTTTTTACTAAAAGTCGTTGCATATATATTTATCTGTCAAGACCCGATTTTAAAAGATGATTTACCAGATCTGTAATTTGGAGAAAATATTAAAGTTGAAATGATTTCAGAGTAATTCTAAGATAATTTGAAAGATTTAGTGGAATTTAGAATTAAGAAAGTGTGGGATAGAATTAGAATTTTTAGGAAATAAAATAATATTCTTAAAAAGAAAGAAGAAAGGAAGTCTAGGAGAGAGAAGAACGGAGATAGAGAGAGAGACTAGTTTTTAGAGGAAGAAATGGAGAGAGAAAGAAAGAATGTTTTAGAAAAAGAAAGAGACCGTTAGAGTGAGAAAGCGAGAAAAAATAGTAAAGAGAAGAGACATAACACCCGGGCCCGAGATTTAGGCCCGAGGTAATCAAATTATATTAATAAATAATTTTAAAAAATTTAAATTTAAATTTAAATTTTTCTTAATAATTTTGAAGAAATATGCGTTTTGGGTGCAACTGAAAACAATTTTCAAAAGTCAAGACTAAAGTGGAAATAAGGAATGACCTGTTTGAAAGTAAAATTAGAAAATTGGGGCAGAAGTGTAAAAAAATAGAAAATAGACCACGTAGGACTGCCATGTCAGCAACACAACCAATCGTCGTACGGCGCATGGCAGACAAGCGAATATGCATCCACGCGGGAAGCCACGCAGGTAATCTGCGTACTAATCGATTGATAGTCCAGATATACTCCCACGCGCATGAAATACCCAGATTCATTTTTCCTTCAGGTGCGATAAAATATGGTCCTTATTGTATATGATCGTGCGGTCCAGATACATTCCCCAGATAAAATGGATCCAACGACTGAGATCGAATCACACCTTCTCAAACGAATGGCCCGAATTGAATGAAGAGGTGTATTTAAACTTTTCTTTCACAAAAACCCTAACTCTAGCCGCAACTATCCCGCTGGAGAAGAAGAAAAAGGGCGACCGGAAGAAAAATCGGCCACCATCATTGCTGCATTGGAACCATTGCCAACATCAAAATGTGAGTTTTTTCTTCTCTTTCAATTCGTAATTCGATTCTAAGCCATCTCAAACCCATATTAGCGCCGAAAAACCAAAGCAAAAGCTGAAAACCGAGGGCAGAGCTCATCTGAACTACCGCACCCACTACTCAAAACCCCTCCGGTGAGCCCCAATCCCCTTTCCATTTCCTTCTATTTTTTTACTATTAGATTCCTAACTCCTTTCTAGTGCAGGACGACCGAAGAAGATCCCCGACCGCGAGGAAGGAACAATAGAGCCACCACACTAGAAAACTCACTCGTCGGTAAGTTTCAATTTTTTTCTTTTTTACTGCCAACATAGGCCACCTAACCTCGAGTTTCGTAAGTTTTCACATAGGATCGACCGAAACCAGCTAGACCGAGAGGAGGCACTGCCGTAGGAGACGAAGCTGGAATCGGAGCATGGTGGCGGTGCCGTGCCGGAACCCTAAACCGGCCCAAAAAAATTTAAAACTCATTTTTAGCCTTTTTCGAGTATTTTTTAGATATGTGACATATGTTTTCAATTTTCGCAGAAAAACCTAAAAAATTTGAGAACTGTTGGGAAGTGCAGTGAAAAAAAAGATGGCGTTTTAAACATCGATTCAAGATAAAAAATTTTCATCCTTTCTCCCATTACGGTTAATTAAATACAGGTTACCAATGGAATCGATAACCGGTCAGTATGTAATTGCTTATTTTATCTGTATTGTTCATTTATTGTCTGCTTACCGCATGCATTTTAATTCATAGATTTAATTGTCTTATCGTTTATTGATTTACTTAACTGTTTTACCCCTATCAGTTGATTGATTTAAAATAAATATTTTGATTACGCTCTCTTTAATTATTAAGTAATTAAATTATATTGTCTACTAATTTATCGTTCTATTTTCCTGTAATTATGAAATGAGATTGTTGTATGTAATTGGTAGCTAATTGATGATGTGGATATGCATGTGTTAAATTAACATATCAAACTAAAAAGTTTACCGGGTATCATGAGAAAGGGTATACGGACCCCGTACATAGGGCAAACTCTATCGTGGATGTTACCCTCAGTCGAACGGGACTGAAAAGTCACATATCAGAAGGGTCGAGAAATTTTTATTCACGTTCATACTGGACAAGGTATTAAGACGATGGTACTTTTGGCACCCATTACTGGATTGGGTATGAGAACGGCCGGTTGATTAATAGATTTTGATATTGGATCCACATGTAGTGGGGACCCCTATGGACCCCCACAAGCATCGGTAAGTAAGTAAAAAAATAAAGTTTGTTTATTGTTGGTTTTTTAGAGTGTTTAATGTATTATTATCTTGTTTTTTTCTTGAAAACTAGCATATGAGAACTTAAAAGGTGAATATGAAAGTAACTTTTTTTTAATTAAATTAATTTACCTAAGAAGGAAAATAGCTTCATTGGTTGTTTTATAATTTTTACCACCTTTTGATTTTCCATATTGGTTGTAAAGTGTTGATATTCTTACTAGACTAGTGTAGTTCATCCTCATTTATTAACTATTTCATATTATGACGATCAAGATCCAGATTCTGAGCAATAAGAAATTAGTGATTAAAGGTTGCCTCCCGTTTTCTATCAGTTGTCCAATGGAGGTTGACCCCATAGGTTTATAGTTACACTTTTCCTTATGTTATTTTAATTTTCCTGTATGGGATATTTTCGTAGTCTTATTGGACATTCTGATTAAACTATGCAATGAATGTAAACCCTAAATTCTTAATTTCTTCCACTAATATTTTATTAATTCAATATTATCATTCAATTAAATTTTGGACCTTTATAAGAGAAGAAAAAGATAGAAAATTTAGAGAGAAAATAATAAATTATGATTACTCCACAAAAATTACATCTCTTGGTTGATTTACCAATAAAATATATAAACATAAAAAGATATATGAGAATTCTTGTCAACCATTATATCTGT